TCAGACCCGCAGTGCAGAGCAGTCTGATCCAGACCAGGTTTAACCACCTGCAGGCGGTTCTTAGATGTAAGCCAACTTCAGATGCTGGAGATTTTAAGCCTGTTACCTACCTCTCACTGAACAGACTCAAACTCTGCCTCCTAAAAAAACGCTTTACAATGATCACCTCTAAGGCCAGCACACCCCAGAGTAGGAGCACACCCCGCCAGGCAGATTCCACGGAGACGATCCCCAATGCATTCTTCTGCTCCGGGGACCGTGCCGACCTCCGGCGGGCCGGCAGCTACAGGGAACAACAAACGGGCCCTTACCGAGTCTGTGGATCCCTCCTTCCACACCCTGAGCAGCCCGGACTCCACGCAGGTCACCAGCGCACTGCGGAGACACCGGAACGGACAGTGGCTCAGGACTCAACTCAGTCAGGCGCTCTGAAACCCCCACCCAGTGGTTAGCGAGTACAGACCGAGTACAGAGCGAGTACCGTACCCGTCGTATACAGCAAGCCCTGTGAATCTGCCCTGTGATGCATCGCCACACTGCCGGGTCTCGATGAATTTCCCCTTCTCTGTGCTGAAGGTCTTCACTGCTCCGTTGACACAGCCAACCAGCACCTGAGCAACACACACAGGGGAAACTGATCAGACTCCCAGTGCACAGCAGACTGATCCACTCCAGGTGGTACAGTGCAGTCAGTCAGACTCCCAGTGCACAGCAGACTGATCCGCTCCAGGTGTGACAGTGTTGTCAGTCAGACTCCCACTGCACAGCAGACTGATCCACTCCAGGTGGTACAGTGCAGTCAGTCAGACTCCCAGCACACAGCAGACTGATCCGCTCCAGGTTTTATGTTGCTGTCACTTAGAATTGAAGGAACAGCTGGGAACAACTTCTCAAACGGCAGTGCAGTCTGCTTGTTTACACTTCTCTCACAGGAAGAGGCGGACAAATCAGACATCCGGTTCTGGGGTCAGGCGCCCTTTGACCATTAAGAAACTTACAGCAACTGTAATAGTCTTCTAGAGGAATTTTGGTAACCTGTGTAGGCTACACTGACAGATACAGAGCATTGATATCACACGAAGAACACTCTGTTGACCTGCTCAATATAGTTTCACACTCACCTCCGTCTCCTGCTGGTCTCCCCAGGTCAGTGCACACACCTCCTGGTCTCTGCTCAGGGTGGACAGGTCGCTGAAGTTAAAAGCCTGTTTCTTCGCCAGGCTGACCCCTGGGTGGACAGACACGGTCACTTTTAAGCGCATACAAACACGTGTCCTCCTTTCACACTGGCCCGGGAGAACGGAAATGTGCATGCATACGTGTTGTTAAAAACAGAACACGCAGGAAGTGCGTTTTTCTCCTCAACTGGGAGCTTGGCAGCGTTTAACAACTGTCTGTACCGCGACGTGGAACCCAAAGATGTACGTAAAACTCTGAATTGAACTGTTG